AAACGGATTATTTCAAACAAGCATGTAAAACGGTATAAAATCCGACTGACAAATCAGACCAAAATCTGGAAATCAACATGCGAGTTCGAAAAACTGAAAATGTCAGCGGAAGTCAAAACGTGGCAAAATAAATATATACATGTCCAAAAGTTTGTAAAAGACATATATACAAACCCACGACCACCAGCTCAGCTCACTCCTCAGGACCGACCCTATGACCTGAAAAAGATAATATAGTGGGGGCGTGAGTACTAAAAGCCACTATGCTCCGCAGAAACTCATACTGAAATAAAACAGTAATAATAATTGCGATATCATGATCAAAGACATATATATAATATGTGTCTATGTCCATGTATGGATGATCAACAGTATAAACTGCTACTGGATCAGATATCTGTCGGCTATAATAAACTCCGCCGGAACCATGTGCACACCCTGGTGGGCAGATTACGCCACTAGAACTCAGAATGGATTTAGGGCACCTGAACCGGCCACCATTCTAAGCGAAACTGGATATACATACCTTGACATGATACCAGTAATTATACTCAATGTAATACTCAGTCTGAGTCCCCACTTGAACTGCTGGTTCGAAAGTGTAAATGCTGCTGCTGATCAAACTGTAAAAATATATAAATAAACAAATACTAAGTACTATGCTCAGACTGACTAAAAATAACTGCTAAGATTTTCGACTCGAACTTAAATATTTAACTGGATTTACTGAAATAATCTCGGGTTCTGACTTGAGTGATAAATCTGAACTGGACTGGAAATACTGAACTAACTGAACTGACTGAACTGACTAAACTGACTGAACTGAACAGAAAACTTAACTGAAATACTGAACTAAACTCGGACCGGGTCACTAAGTCCTGAACCGCTCGAGTAACTGGTCTGAACCGGCCGGTTCACTGGCTGGCTAGACCACCGGCTCGCTGTGGCCGGGCTGTCGGCAGCTGGCTGGGCCACCGTCACGGTCGTACGCACTGGCCGCTGTTGGCGCTGGCCCGTGCGTGACTGGCTAGGTTCATGCGCTGACGGGTGCGGCTGGCACCATGCGTGCGCGTAGGACGGTTATCGGCGTGCTGTTGTGCACGGCCGACGGCTACTGGGCGCTGGGACGCACGACTGGGCGCTGATACGGAAGTGGTCATCAACCCCGATGAGTCCGAGGACGAGTCTATCGAAGACCACGACTTATGGCTGGAGAACATGCTCGAAGAGCCACAAAGCCCGATTTATCAACCTTCATGCAAGCGGGATTGGCCGAGAGGATGTGAACTGAGGTCAAGAAGGTGCAAGGCCAAGCAAGCAAGAAGGCATCGCAACCCAAGGAATAATGAGGTGAACAATTGGTGCAAGGCTTGTGCAAGGAAGCGACGCGCATGACGCATGGAGGCTAGGAGAATGGGTGCGCGAGGGGTGGAAGATGGGTGGAAGATGTAACGCCCCAGTCTTTTTAATAAAGGAAAAATACTAGCTTCCGAGTATAAGCTAGCCTTTATTAATAAATGCTCAATATTAGTGTTCGAGCCTAAATTATTTAGCTAGTAATGTTCCAAGTTCGACGTTAAGTTGAAATATACACGGTTGATTTTATTTATTAACCGAGTCAAATTCTAGTAATTAATCTCAGTCTATTTATTTAATAAATAGACATCAATAAGTTGGGATTAATTATTCCAGTGTTGACGTATTAATCGAATTCGAGAATATTCGATAAATCGTCAAAGATGAGTTTCGAGCCCAGTTAGTAAGTTATTCAGATATAAGTTCGACTTTAAGTCGATAGAATATTCGGTTTAAATTATTTTCAGTAACCGAATCAGTTTCGATAATTAATTCTGAAATGTTTATTTTTATAAACGGCTATCATAAGTCGGGATTCATTATTTTTATGTCGATGTTTTATTCGGAATCGAGGTATTCAGATTAATCATCGAAGTCGAGTAAATTCGGTCAAGATTTAATCCAAGTCGAGAAGTGCTATACTTAGAAATTATTCTAAATATTTAGTAGTACATATAAATAAGCATAAGGGTTGTTTGACCATATAGCACCAAGAAGCTATTACACGCACGCAATTTCTGAAATAAAATGCCGAGCTTAATTTGTACCAAGCCATTATTTAGCCTTAGGTTAAGCTTACAAAATAAGAATATAGTAGTAGAATTATTGGTGTGGTAACACCTCATGCTATGTCCAATTTATTAGTCTCGCCACAAATGCATAGACTTTAGACAAGTGTGGTTGTGAGAATAATACTTATCACTACAAAATACACCTCATGCTTATTAATTTATTAAGTGGCGTAGATATATGTGATTTGGGCTGAGGGTGGTGAAGTTTATATCACAAAAAAAATATTCATCTTTTCCTTAGCATAAGGAAAGAAAACCGAGAGGAAAATTTGAAAAGGAAATTGCTTGTCTCCCATCCTTTTTCTATATATATATACTAGAAAGTTATCGGCTGTGCTTACGTTTTATAATTATTTAATTTGTTCATATTGTAAAGAGTTATTTGTTGTGTGTAATTGTTTCTTATTTAAATTTGTTAATAAGTATCAATTATATATTCTGATGATATTCATTAGTAGCACAAAAGTTTAAATAATGTTTCTATACAATATAAGTTTTGATGAATAATTAATATAAAATTGTTTAATTTACAGTTAATATTGAGTATAATTAATTATTTGAAAAAACACACTTAAAAAATATAAATGAAAAGGAAAAAATGGAAAAGAAAAAGAAAGGAAAAATAAAAATAAAAAAAAGATAAAACCATCTATTAATATTTATGTGCGGCCTGGTTAAAGGTATTGGGAGTCGATTTTGTGCATCCCTTTTTCTCTTCGAAGAATCCGCCATCTGTTTTTTCTCTTCGAACCCTTGTATGTTTGTTTTCACTTGTGTCAAATTACATCAAGGATATACATGTTATATTTATGAGAGATGATTGAAATTGCTTTCTCACATGCTGATCAACTCCTTCCCTCATGCCATTGGTAAACCATAACATGTTCCATGTCCATGAGCAAGCTGAGGAAATTAACCAAAAGAGTGATAAAATTTAGTTGAACAATAAAAGAATATAGAGAAATTATTTTTGATATGGTGGATGAAACACTTGTCCGAAAGATCACCCCAGGCGGATTTTTGGGCCACTGACCCACTGCACACATAGTTCGACCTGTCGATCGTGATCTTCACACAGTCCGCTCAGTCTCCGCCTCTCAATGGAATAGATACCTTTAAATTCATCTGGGTTGACCTTCAATTCATCTTGTAATTTCCTATTAGAAAAGGCACGTTAAGAAACACTAACACCAGAAAGAACGTTATACGAATGAACAAGAAAAAGGCAAACAATCAATTACCTGAGAAATAATCACAATTTCGCGAAACCACACTATTCAAAATAATTCGTACTGAAAGGAGAGATAATTTACCTGGGTTTCGAGCCAATGGATTCTCAATCACAAAATTAGTAGAACTACTTTCATCTTTCAGCACATGTGTATCAATCAGAAACCACCTCCTTAGAGCAGCCCCAGCACAAAATCATAACTCTAATTAGGTATTTACGTAAATTCAAATTGTCCAGAACAAATGGCCTTCCACCTGACTTTTAGTTTTTATATAGAAAATGACAATGAGATGAAACATGTTGACATGGTCAAGTTACCATAAACCAGCAGAAATAAGCTAACCGCAACAAAATTGATTTTATTTTCATCCACTTAGAATAAACAATTTTTTCATGGTGTTAAAAATTTATATGTATATATATAAGCCTTAACATTACTCCACTCGATGCAGTTGCACCACTCAATAAACTTATGTTGAGTTTCTACATGTTTTTCAATGTTTTTTAAATTAGTAAGTACATGGGAAGCCCAATAGTGGCTCTCTTTTCACTTGTATGTTCATTTTCTGCTATGTTTTCATGATTACATAACTTAGAATAGGAATATCACATCATTGTTGCACAACTAAAACCATTAATAGAAACTGCAAAACCTAAGTAAAAATATCAAGCTGACATGAATTGAGAATGCTAAAATCACACACACACACATGGCCAGCAAACACAACATCCAAAACCTAAGAATCACACAAAAGAATAGACAGGTATTAGTTTTATCAGGTCACACGTGAAAAAGAAGTACGTACAGTTGAATCCAAGTAAAAGGGCTGTCAGACTACAATGCGCAACAATATAAATCTCACCTTGGCATCAGGATACTGTAAAAGATTTGTTAACAACGGTACAACTCCCATAACGAAATCAGCAGCTTCTGAAGGTTGTTTCTTGCACATATTTGCAGCATTTGCGAAGGCCACTCTCTAATAGACCATTAAGTAGAATTAAATTCTCTAAAACACTACGTGAGAAGACTTCCTTGTGGCTATGTAAGCAATTCAAAGATGGAGATTAACATTATAATATCTAGTTTTACACACCAGGAAACCAGTGGAAAAGAAAGCACCCAAAAGTAGAAGAATTATCAAATACATAACAACAGAAATACAAAATTCTTTTAATGATAATCCAGACCTGAAGAGTAAAGGCCCCAATGGAATTGGATCTATTGTAGTGTCAAGTAAACAATAATACTCATCTTTACAAATTACATAGATCCATTATCTCCTCATAGATGCTTTTGTAAAGTAGCAAAGTGATACTATCAAGAATGAACATGCTTTAGTTCAGATCACAAAGAAGTGGACTTCTCCATTAGAAGTCGACAACATAAGTTAATAGTGAAAATAGCCAAAAAAAAATAAAAATCCATTTAACATTTTGACTCAAGTTTAGCACAAGTACAAAGAGTACAATCGATTAAATGAGAATGGACAAATCTAATCAAATCAGGAAGCATTGAAATCCTTATAATGCAAGATAGGGTAATATCATGCTCTTAAATAAATGAAAAATCTCATTCTTAAAGTTCAGTTTTTTCAATTGCATACAGCTTTTTATAACACTTAAATAAAAGGAAAAAATGGTGCAATGCTGGAACTGTCGACTTGATCATTGTGGCTGACACCTGAAATCATATTACGTACAGATACTGTAATGGTCAATAAGTAATTATTCAAAATAAAAATAAAAAATAAAAAAAAGTTTATACTAAGTTATTCTTACAAATAATAATAATAATAATAACAAGGTAAAATAAATTAGAAAGTACCATTGGTGAATGCACAGATAGGTGCGTTGCTTAAATCCTCAGCAAGCTGCAAGAAAAGTGATCCAAAAAAGGGACAAAGAACAATGAATTAACAAAAATCTACGAAAGATATTACTGATTCCAGTTAAATCAATGCCAGTGAAATTTGCTTTCAGATAATGTTTGGCATTAAAATATCAGTAAAGAAAAGGAAAAATAAGAATAATTCTTTTCAGTAAAATTATTATACCTGGAGAAACTGCAGATGACCAAATCCATCACCAGTCCAATAATGCCAAACATCACCAAAATGGCCCAGCCTTTCTTCCCATGGGCCGTTAGTTTTTTTCCATCTGAATGCATTCCTTAACCATTCACTTTGAACAACGCAACCACCTGACAAAAATCATGGATTTCAAGCACATTAAACCTCCAATATAACTCCCTTAGAAAGTTAAATGAGAATCATATATAAACCGTACATCTCATTTTTCGTCAGATTACACACCAATTGCCTGCCTTGGTCATCACCTGATCATGCCAGAAAAGAACAAATTAACAAAGAAGTTTAAAAAAACTACATATATACATGTAGTTATGTATATACATGTGAACAAATAAAACACACAAATATATTCCATCAGTCACCATTAATTTGTCTGAAGTTGTAAATATCATTCTTCAAACAAAGACAATGGTGCTTTGAACTACAAGCTTGGATGGCCTCACCACAAAACACACCAAAAAGAAAAATAAATAAAGGTCCTCGGATAATAAAGATGGTAAAATTAAATCTAAACAAATGTACACATATGATGTTTTTCCAACGAAGGTGGTGGAGCATAAGCCCTTTTTTTACCCTCCTAGAGCTGAATTAACAAGAAATCCCATTATTCACTTTCAGTATGTTTGCAAACAAACCCATATGAAGCCAATTAATTTAACGGGCATATAATCCAACAAAAGCAAATACAAGTCTTTCCTGATAAAATGGAAACCCATTTGAATGCATATTTCAGCTTTCAGTACCAGCAATAAGATAAGCAAACAAAGGGTAAGATAGGCTCAATACCTTCTTAACACCACGGACTTTCTTTGCTCTGTTCTTCCTTTCCTTCATCTGCTTCCTCGACTTCTCAACCTTAGTGTCCAGACCATTCTGAATGCAAATATTCCAGACAAATATATCTGATGTTTAGTACATATTGCTAACAAATGAAAACATATATGTTACCACAGCGAATAGAAATAAATTTGGAACAGATTATCCGATGAATATATCTCATGGGCGAGTGTGCAACTGAAGTCACAAATTCAAGAAAAACTTATCAATATTCCCACTTAATAAGTATGAAGAGCAATATTTTCAAAAACATAAACTCGAAAGCCAATATCCAATTCAAAGTAAATGAAGTATCAAGGATATCAGTACCACTTGGTTGATCCTCCATTATGACAAATTTGCCCACGCCAAAAGACAAAATGTAAAAAGAGCACAACAAAATAATACAACAAGGCAATTTCACCCCGACATTTAAATTTCTATATAAGAAACATAGCACAAAATAATGGAAGTAACCAGAGACTAATAATGAAGTTTCACATCTCGAGGAGTAAACATATAGCAATAAGAATGACTGGCTAAATTACCCCGATAAGCCTGTATTTAGGCTCAAACTTCTTTGCACTCTCAACAGAATCATAGATCAAGCCAAAGCCCGTAGATTTGCCTCTACCAAAGTGGGTCCTGAACTTGAACACGAAGATGGCATTCGAATCTTTAACCTCATACATCCTTGCCAACTTCTCCTTCAACTCAGCCTTCAGAAAAAAAATCACAAGTTAAAGAAAGTTAACCTTCAGTACATTCTTACCATTCCACTTTTCGAGCAAAAGATCCGATATAAATACCATTGTCCACATTTTTATTTGCATATACATACTAAATAACCAGAGACACATTACATTACTGGGTATAGAGAAAGTCCATAATGTTATATAAAAGTAAGCAAAACTTATAATTTTTCATCTCATTAGCATTCTTCATTATGAACTATATTACATGTGCCTTTTCCATTTATAACACTAACTAACACACAAATGCAGCTAAAATGCTAAACAAAGCTCAATCTCTTATCAAACAAAACTAGAAATAATCAACATGAAAGGACAATCCATAAAACAGACCAACCATAGAAACATTCGCTTTTCCTGGATGCAAAACGTCAATGACCTACAAAAAAATAAAAGTAAGAACAATATGAAATGAATCAAAATTAAGATGAACGGAAAAAACTGCAAAATCAGCTTAATAGGCATACGAATTGTTTCCTAGAGAGAAGACGGTTCGTCATGAACTTCCTCGTTCTGAAGGTCACTGTTTTTTCCGCCATTTTTTCTGCAAAACAAAGAAAGCAAGGTTGTTAAACTCAACACATTTTCAATCTGAAGCTCGAAAACTCGTGATTTCTTCAGCTTTAGCAGGAGGTACAATAAAATCGGAAATCAGAAAAGGGATACGGCTGAGTTAAACTACCAGCGAGCAGATAAAGCACGACGGATCCATCGCGTTTTGACCGTCGATCTGAATGACGTGCTGAGGAAGGCGGAGAGGATTTCAGACGTGTATTACGATGCGGTGGATGTTGCGGTTGTTGATGTATCGAGCGCTGAGAACACTACCCGGGGACGGGGTGAGGCTATCTTGGCCTCCAAAAACAGCCAAAAACCCTAACCGTGAAATATCTCATGAGTTTTGAGCTTATGCCGTAGTAAGCAAATCTCGCCGACACCACAACCCCTGAAGCCAGAAATTCACGGAGAAAAAGGATGCCATTAATCGAGCTCAAAACTACTGTAAAATGAATCTCAAGTGTTCGATTTTGTTACCGATGATGAATGAAGCGAATTTCCAGCAGCTGGATCTCGATCGGATGGAGGGGCGGCGGTTGTAGTGACGAAGCATGAAACGACGCCACCCGGTAGCAGCGGAGCTTCGGCTCGCCTCGCCGACTCACACTTTGTCAGTCCCATCGTGGTTGTGGCAACGGAAGAAATTGAATGGTAAAAAAAAACTTCATCAAATGGGAAAATTATTTAGGGTTTGACGAAATAAATGGGCGTCGACGTTAGGTTATAAAACAACGATGCCATTTTAGGTTTACCTTACGGCTAAAGAACAACAAGCCTGAGGAATTCGGTGGTCGTCAAATGCAAGAGATATGTGTTGCCTCCGTCAATCTGTCGTCGCGCCGTGTCGTTACGCTTCCAGGCCGCAACATGTGATGATGTCGCCTCCGTCAATCTGAGCGGCCTGCACCATCCGTCCAAAAGCTACCGATTTCTGCCACTCACGAGCACAGTGAATCGATAGAAAATAGAGAAAATGAAAGAGAGAGGTGAGAAGAGGAGATGAGAAATTGGTGGGATTTGAGAGATATGAAAGAGAGATGAAAAGCGAGACAGTGTGCAAAATGACGTCTAGAGAAAGCAAAATGATGTCAATCACTATCATTGACAATTACCATACTAACCCTGAAGGAAGACAAACTATAGCCAACTGAAAAGTTGAAAACCACTTTTAGAAGAAAACGAAAAGACGAAAGAAAAAGAGAGAGGCAAAAGGAAACAACTCATTTAGCCACGTGTCGCATTTCTAAATGGTCTCCTATTTTTTTCTATAATAAGAAGGTAGATATATATATATAGGGTCAAAATCTTTTTCACCCATTGTATATCTATTCTTTCTTTTTCACACTACCCCGTCAGATTTCTTCTTTTACACCCCAAAATTCACGAAATGCTATGCGATATTACACTCGCAT